ATGTGGTGAGGACGGTGGTAGGGACCGGGAGTCGTTTGCTGGCGGTGAGGGGGGGTGGGGAGGGGGTTCGAACCGGTAGTGATCCCGCCCTCTGGTTTTCGAGGGGGGAGGGGGGGTTCGAACCGGTAGTGACCCTTCCCGGTTTTCGAGTTCGAGGGGAGGGGGGGGGGGTTAGGAGAGAGGGGGGTTTTGCCGGGGGAAGGGGGAGGGGGGGGGGAGGGGTTCCAGCAGGAGGGGGGGGGATTTTCGGAGGGGGGGGGGGGACCCCCGGGTTCCGGAGGAAAAGGGCGGCAATTTTCCATAGTAAAGCGGCGGTGGATCACGCTCTCTCCATCATAAGCGTCAGCATCAGCATCATCATGAGCATCGTCATCATCAGCATCAGCATCAGTTATCATCATCGTCATCAGCATCAGCATCATCATCAGCCGCATCATGATCATCATCAGCATCAGCATCAGCAACATATTCCTCATCATCATCATCATGATCATCATCGTCGACATCGTCATCATCATGATCAGCATCATCATCAGCATCAGCATCGTGATTATCATCACCATCAGCATCATCATCACAGTCAGCAGCATAATCATCATCATCGTCACCATCGGCAACACCATGATCAGTATCGTCGTCATCATGATCACCATGATCATCATCAGCAGCAGCATCATAATCAGCATCAGCATCAGAATCATCGTCAGCATCATCGTCGTCGTCCTCATCATCGTCGTCATCGTTGCCGTCGTCCTCATCACCATCATCAGCATCATCACCATCATCGCCGTCGTCGTCAGCATTATATTCAGCATCATCATCTTCAGCGCAAGTATCGTCAGCATCACCATCATCAGCATCATCACCATCATCATACTCATATGCATAATCATGCTCATAATCATACGCATACCCATGCCCATCATCGTCGCCATCGTCGCCGTTATGTATCATACGCCACCCCCTCCTCATCCTCCTCCTCATCCTCACCCTCATCCAGCAGCATCATCATCGACACCAACATCATGATAGCCAACACAATCATCGTAAACAGCAGCAGCAGCAGCATCATCATGATCATCATCATACTCCTAATCATCGGGATGGCCATCTGCAGAATCCTAATCGTGATCGCCAGCGCCATCGGTATATACAGACTCCGACCCCTATATGCATATTACCCAGACCCCCCCTGAACTGGACCTCCCTTTCCCTGGGCCCCAGGGACCACCTGGACCCCACCACCTGGATCCCTGCGCCCTGTGACCTCCTGGACACCCGTGCAGAGGACCCCCAGGAGTTCCCAGGCCTCCTGGACGTCCCTGCCATGCCTAGCCAGCGGGCCCAAGACGCTCCGAAGGGCCCAAAAAATGCCGAAGAGGACCCCAAGAAAGCCCCAAGACGGCCCAAGAGAGCCCGATGACTGGCCAGGAGGATCTCGGGACGACCCAAGAGGACCTCGAAGACGGCCCGCGCAGGCCAAAAGGGCTCCAGGGGCCTCCGAGGATCGCCCCAGGATGGCCCAACGGGCAGCCCAGATCGCCCCATGACGGCCCAAAAGGGCCCCAGAGAGCCCCAAGACGGCCCAAGAAAGCCCCAAGACAGCCAAAGTGGGGTACAAGAGAGTCCCAAGATGACCCCGAGAAAGCCCAAAAGTCCACAGGAGGCCCCCCAACGAGCGGGCCCCAAGACGGCCAAGGCGCCCCAAGAAGGCCCAAGAGAGTCCCAGGACGCCCCACGAGGGCCCCAAGCCAGTCCACGAAGGCTGCGAACTGGCCTCCGAGGAGCTTCCCCAGACACGACCAGACACATTCAAAGGCCTCTGGCCCGCCGCCTCGGCTAATTTCTCGAAGGCCCGTGGGCGGCCCCCGCAGCGCGTGCACCGCCGCCGCTGCGTTCCAAAAACGCACCGCATCGCCGCACAAAGAAGCCCAGGAAGTCCGATCGCCGAAAAATGCCTCACACGGGTTTCAGGAGAGTTCAAAGAACCCCCGAAACGAGCCAACATCGCTCGAACACGGTTCCACAACAGCCCCTGAACAGACCAAACCTATCACAAGACGCCCGACTGAAGCACCCCAGATCCTGACTCGCAGCACTGGGGCCCCAAACAGCCCAAGCGGCATTCATCGGGCTCCCTGGAACTTCCCATACAACCCCGAAGCCCTCGAAACTCAGAAAGCGCGCCGAATGAATATGTTCGGGGCCATTGCGCGACTTGTTGGGGGGCGACGCGCGCGCAGCTCGGTGCAGCGCGCGACGCGCTGTGTATATATGTATGAATAAACATATGTGTTTATGTATGTATGTATGTATGTATGTGTGTATGTATGTATGTATGTATGGATGCATGCATGTATGTATGTATGTATGTATGTATGTATGTATGTGTATGAATGTGTGTATGTATGTATGCCTGCATGCATGTATGTATGTATGTATGTATGTATGTATGTATGTATGTATGTATGTATGTATGTAAATGTATGTATGTGTGTAC